GTTCTCTCTCTCTCTCTCTTTCCTCCTCCTCCTCCTTCTCCTTCTCCTCCTCCTCTTCCTCCTCCTCCTCCTCCTCCGGCTCCTCCTCCTCTCTCCCTCCTCTCTCTCTCTCTCTCTCTCTCTCTTTTTGGTGTTTCCGTTTTTTCCAGATTTGGGATCTATGGGCCTTAACGGGCCGGAACTGGCCAACAAAAGCCTTGGTCTTGATTGGTCCGAGAATCGGGATCTCTGAGTCATGTCTTCGCGCTCCGTGAGTTCTGCTCCTCCTCCCCCTTCTCCTCCGCCTCCGCGTTCTTCCGCGGTGTGAAGCGCGCTCGTCGGGGTACGCTGGCCCCTCTGCCGCGCTCTGGAGAAATCCCTCCCGAGGGCGCCAGGGGCCACGTCTTGCATATCTCGGGGGATCTTGTTGGGTGCAGTAAGTGTGGGGTTTTCTCGGCTCGGACGGCGCGAGCCCAATTGTTTGGGGAATGTGACCCCGAGGCCGTCCTTCTGAATAACCCTCAGAGGCAGTGGAGGAGGGGCAATTTTATGAAGGGCATTCACCCCAAGGGTGGTAACCCCCCCTCCCCATCCCTCGTAGACATCAGGTCCAGGACGACGCTGTCCACTGGCTGGGCCTGATATCCATACCTTGAGCCTTCGAGCTCCTTCGTGTTTCTGTTTTGTCTGGAGCCCGCGGTCGTCCGTTCTGCTCGGCCCTGGGCTTTCCCTCTCGGGTCCTCTCGGCGTGGCCGTGCGGCGTTGGCTGGGCCGTGGGCGTCCTGGGGGACCCGAAACGCTCTGTACTCGATAGCGCGCTCAATGCTTTTCCTGCCGCCCGCATCCGTCCCTGACCCTGACTCGGCGCGTCGCTCCATGGGCTCGCGACTTCTCCTGCCGCCCCAGAGGTCCAGCGGCCCCTGGAAGTCCCCAGGAGTCCCCCGCGAAGAGGCCTCCCCGGAGGCCCGGCAAGGGCCGACAGAGAGCGTTTGCGAACTCCCCAGGAGAAGGGACCAGTCGGGGGAGGGTCAGGCTGGGGGCACGGGGGGGGGAGACCCACATTGGGGGGGAAGAAAAGGCACCAGCTGGCTCCAGCAGTGGGGGGGGGGGGCCCACGGCGGGGGGGAGACCCACATTGCTGGGGGACTCCCACACTGGGGACCCACATTGGGGGAGACCCCACATCGGGGGGACCCACAGTGGGGGGAAGAAAAGAGACCCACATTGGGGGATGAGCCACACTGGGGGGGGGGGGGGGGGGCACACTGGGGGGGGGGGGGGGGGGGGCCCTTTCGGGTTCGTTTCGGGCACCAGCTGGCTCCAAAAGGGGCCCTCAAGGGCTCCGTTGGGGCCCTTTCCTTCACCCTTCCTTTGGGTCACCCTCCAGCACCGCCCGCCCGAGAGGGGGGAGGAGGGAGGAGGCGGGAGGGAGGAGGACGAGAGGGCGGAGGGAAGAGGCGGGAGGCAGGGTCGGCTCTCGGGGAAAAACGGGCTCTCAGGGAAAACGGGCTCCGCGACGGAGGCCCGAGGGCGTGCCCGAGCAGCCTCCTGGTGCTGCAGCCCTCCTCCCGGCCCTGCGGCCGCCGAGGGGGGCATCCGGGCGGCTCCGCCGGCGCTCCGGCCCAAGCGGGGCTCTTTTCTCTGCTGCCAACCGGCGCTCCCCGGCCAAGAGCGGTCAGGAAGACATTGTTCAGGCTTGGAGGAAGCGGCTGGGAAACGCGAGGGCATCGTTGCCCGCAGGCAGTCGAAGGTGCCGCGCATGGCATCCGAATGCTACTGCTCGTGCCGTTCATCCTCCAAGCCCCCTCCTCCCAACACGGTAGTTGTCCTCCTCGAGTGGGCTCCACGACCTAAACTTGGGGAGCGGCCTGAGCACAATCCTCGTGCTGCAGCCCTGTTCACAGCACTGCGGCCGCTGAGGGGCCAAGGAGGAGGAGGAAGAAGAGGGGGGGGAGGAGGAGGGGAAGGGGGAGGGGGAGGAGGAGGAGGAGGAGGAGGAGGAGGAGGAGGAGGAGGAGGAGGAGGAGGAGGAGGAGGAGGAGGAGGAAGAGGAGGGCTTTTTCTCGGAAAGGGCGCTGTCCCAGGGTTCTCTAGTGCGGAGCACTTCAGCAGAATCCTCGAAGCAAACCGAGGTCTGGAGCCCCGACCGCGACGCGGAAGAGCCCCGACCGCGCGCATGAATTCAAGGATATCTCGTCTAATTCGTTTTGTTTTGCCAGGATTTCTTTGATTTTTGGCAGGATGTCTCGAGCGAAATGCTTGTTTTTTTCTGAATTAGCTGAGGATGTCTCGAGAGAAACGCTGGTTTGCAAAATTGAGGAATGTCTCGAGCGGGGGCCTCGTGGGGGGGCCAGAATTCAGAGAACGTCTCAGGCGAAATGCTTGTTTTCACGTCCCGCTCGTAGGAATTCTGAGGGTGTCTCGCGCGTGCCGTCCCGCGCGCAGGAATTTCGAGGATGTCTCGACTAATTCGTTTTGTTTTGTCAGGGTTGCTTTGAATTTGGGCAGGATGCCTCGAGCGAAACGTTTGTTTTTCAGAATTCGTGGAGGATGTCTCGAGCGAAACGCTGGTTTTGCAAAATTGGAGGATGTCTCGAGCGGGGGCTTCGTGCGGGGGCCAGAATTCAGAGAACGTCTCAGGCGAAATGCTTGTTTTCACATCCCGCTCGTAGGAATTCCGAGGATGTCTCGCGCGTGCCGCGTCCCGCGCGCAGGAATTTCGAGGATGTCTCGACTAATTCGCTTTGTTTTGCCAGGACTGTTTGAATTTGGGCAGGATGCCTCGAGCGAAACGTTTGTTTTTCGGAATTCGTGGAGGATGTCTCGAGCGAAACGCTGGTTTTGCAAAATTGGGGGATGTCTCGAGCAGGGGCCTCGTGGGGGGGCCAGAATTCAGAGAACGTCTCAGGCGAAATGCTTGTTTTCACGTCCCGCTCGCAGGAATTTTGAAGATGTCTCGACTAATTCGTTTTGTTTTGCCAGGATGTCTTGGGATTGTGCGAGGATGTCTCGAGCGAAATCTTTTTTTTGTTTTGCAGAATTAGCTGAGGATGTCTCAAAGGAAACGCTGGTTTTGCACAATTGGGGGATGTCTCGAGCGGGGGCCTCGTGGGGGGGCCAGAATTCAGAGAACGTCTCACGCGAAATCATTGTTTTCACGTCCCGCTCGCAGGAATTCCGAGGATGTCTCGCGCGTCCCGCGCGCAGGAATTTCGAGGATGTCTCGACTAATTCGTTTGTTTTGGCAGGATGTCCTTGGATTTTGACAGGATGTCTCAAGCGAAACGCTTGTCCCCAGCACGTTCCGTAGCTCGTCCCCTTGACACGTCCCGCGGTGCGTCCCCATGGCACGTCCCCTGGCACGTCGTTTGGCGCGTCCCTTGAGACGTTCCGCGTCGCGTCCTCCTGGCATGTCCCCCTGTCAATTAGCTCTGGGGCAGCTAGTATGTGTTCAGGCAGCTCGAGCTTAAGATCCAGATCAGTTCGGTCAGGCCTCGGATGCAAAGGAGGACTCGATCCACGAGGCTACAGAGCACAATCGCGGCATGGCACATCGCACTTCAGCCCCGCGCAGCACAGCACAGATTTCGGCACGGTACATCAAGATCGATACAGTCAGCATTGCAACTTGGCACGTTCCTTGGCACGTTCCGTGGGGCGTCCCTTGGCGAGTCCCCCTGGCACGTCGCGTGGCGCGTCCCCTGGCACATCCCGTGGCACATCCATTGGCACGTTCCGTAGCGCGTCCCCTTGGCACGTCCCGCGGTGCGACCCCATGGCACGTCCCCTGGCACGTCGCCTGGCGCATCCCTTGGGACGTTTCGCGGCGCGTCCTCCTGGCATGTTCCCCTGTCAATTAGCTCTGGGGCAGCTACTATGTGTTCAGGCAGCTCGAGCTTACGATCTAGATCAGTTCGGTCAGGACTCGGATGCAAAGGAGGACTCGATCCACGAGGCTATAGAGCACAATCGCGCCATGGCATATCGCAATTCAGCATGGTGCAGCACAGCGCAGCCCTCGGCAGGGTACATCAAGATCGATACACTCAGCACTGCATTTGCCCGTCACCCAATCGGGTGTCTTTGAGAACGCTGCCACGTGTTACAGTTCTATATTCCTTTTTTCGGGTTCGTGGGTCGATCATGCTTCTTCCCCAGGCGGCGATCCTCGACCAGCAGTGGGCTTCACGACAGAAACCCGAGGAGCTGCCCGAGCACCATGCGCTGCAGCCGCGGCGCTCGTGCTTTCGAGGCGCCAATCTCGGCGAGGGGTTCCGGCGCCCCCGACGGTGGGCCCGGAGCCGTCGTGCCTCTCGCTTCTCCTCCTCCTCCTCCTCCTCCTCCTTCTCCTCCTCCTCCTCCTCCTCCTCCTCCTCCCCCTCCTCCTCCTCCTCCTCCCCCTCCCCCTTCCCCTCCTCCTCCTCCTCGCATTCCTCACTCCCATAACCCCCTTCCACTGCACTTCGGCCGCCGACGGGGCATCCGCGGGGGGCCCCCGCCTGCGCGCCCCAGCCCGCAGAGGGGTTCTCTCCATTCCCCAAGCGGCGATCCTCGACCGATCATGGGCTCCACGACACGAACCTCTTGGCATCGCTCGGACGTGTGCATGTTTCCTTCGGCGAGGACCATCGAGGAGCATCCTTGATCATTTGGCGGAAACCACGCACGAAACCGAAAAAAACAGGGAATGGACGTCCGAGCGATGGCGAGATCTTCGGGAGGGAAAAAACCCACAGACACAATGAGTCGACGCCCAGGAAGATGTGGGAAAGCACGGGACGTGTGTGTGTGTGTATGTGTGTGTGGGGGGGGAAGACGCAAACCCAGAACGTATGGAAAAAGATGGGGTGTCCTGGGATTCGTGCCCAATTATTTGCGTGCCCCAGGGCCCAAACCTGGGAGCTGCCCGAGCACCAAGCCCTCGTGCTGCAGCCCTGTCCACAGCACCTCGGCCGCCGAGGTGCATCCGGGAGGTCTCCGCCCGCGCTCCAGACCGCAGGGGCTCTTCGTCCCTCATTTTGGCTCAAGCTGGTATGAGTCAAGACACTTCATCTATCTTCGTGAACCGTACATATTAATCCAATTCCGTGTGTGGTTGATGCACCATCTCTTGGTCGCCAGTTTGGTCGTGGCCCTCGGCGCTTGTGGCCTGGCCCCTGCAGACGACCTCAGACTGTTTCAGGCGTGGAGCTCTGGCCAGCCTCCGCAGTCGATTTCAAGAGATGATCGAGTGTCGACAAAGAAACCCGAGGCGTCCAGGATGACCGGTACAACACCGTCGCGGGACACATCGAGGAGGGAGTTCTTCATTCATGGTTCCGTGCCCATCTACGCCGCTTCACCCATGATGAGTGGCGCCGCCGCCGCCGGAAGCGTGGTGGCGCGCCCGTGGATGATCATGTTGCAAAGCGACGCCACAGAGGAGGAGTCTGTGTCCATGAGCAAAGAGTTACCGAACGGTCTGTCGACACACGCAAGCATGGGCGAAGTGCCGATGGTGATGGGGAGTTTGGATGTAGGCGGTCTCCAGTCGTTCATCAACAACCACCAGGGTCGTCTGAAGTTTGTCGTAGAGGATCGGTTCGAGCAAAGGGTGGAAACGCCAATCATCGAAGAGGCTTCAGATTCAGGGCGGCGGACCTACCCATGGGGCATCCAGTACCTCAATGCAGACGTGGTGCGGGGGAAAGGCGCGGGGGTGAGCGTGTACGTGCTGGACACGGGCGTTCGCATCACCCACAACGAGTTCGCCGGCCGGGCCTTCGCCGGAGTGGACGTAGCCAGTTCGGAGACGTACCCGGGCACCCTCACAGTGTGCTCGCCGTCCAGTACAACGTGCGCTGACGACCAGCATGGGCACGGCACGCACTGCGCGGGATCGGTGGGGGCCTCGACATATGGCGTCGCGGATGGCGCTTTTATCTACGCAATGAAGGTCCTGAATAACGCAGGCTCTGGCTGGACCACATGGTCCATTCTGGCCGAGCAGTGGATTCTGTCGTCCGGGAACAGGCCAGCGGTGGTCAGCATTAGTATCCAGGCCAACTACAATGACCCCGCAGAGGCAACCTCCATCGACAACCTGGTGGCCGATGGCGTGACCGTGGTGGTGGCTGCAGGGAACGCCAACGCAGACGCGTGCACCTATAATCCAGCTTGGGTTTCATCGGCGATCACCGTAGCTGCTTTCGGTGGGACATCGGGGAGCTCATGGGACAGGTCTTCGTACAGCAACTGGGGCTCTTGCATCGATGTTTATGCTCCGGGCACGAACATCCTCTCGCTGGGCCCATTCAGCGATACCCAGACATATTTTAACACGGGCACGTCCATGGCCTGTCCCCACGTCTCCGGACTCGCGGCCAGGATGTACGAGGCGTATCCCACGGCGGGGTCCATGACCGCTGCACAGAGGTGGGATCTCCTGACGGCCATGAACTGCACAGGCTGTGTCACACATGGCACGACTCCCACACCCACTGTCAACTTGGTGGCCTTGGCCAATTCCCCTACTCCCACTCCGGTGATCTCGCCCTCGCCTACGCCATCGCCAACGCTCCCGCCCTTTGCCACGCCCTCGCCTACGCCCTTACTCACGCCCTCGCCTACGGCATCGCCTGCGCCATCTCCTTCGCCATCTCCAACGTCCTCCCCTACGCCTGCACCAACGCTCGCGCCCTCACCCTGGCCTACACCGTCGCCTACACCCCATACGGACTCGCCAACGCCATCGCCCTCGCCCTCACCTACGACCTCGCCTACGCCTTCGCCCACCATCGCGCCCACACCCTCGCCTACGCCCCTGCCCACGATTTGGCCTACGCCCTCGCCTACGCCGCCACCCCTGCCTGCGCCCACGCCCTCGCCTACGCCCTCTCCCACGCCCTCGCCGACGCCTTCGCCCACGCCCTCGCCTACGCCTTCGCCCACGCCCTCGCCGACGCCTTCGCCCACGCCGTCGCCTTCAGCCTCGCCCACGCCGCTGCCTACGCCGTCACCAACTCCTTCGCCTACGTCTTCGCCAACTCCCTCGCCTACGCCCTCGCCCACGCCTTCTCCCACGGCGTCACCCTCTTCATCGCCCACGCCCTCGCCTACGTCAGCGCTGACGCCCTCGCCAACGCTGTCGCCCACGGACTCGCCAACGCCATCGCCTTCGCTGTCACCTACGCCTCATCCCACGTCATATCCCTCACCCTACCCCACGCCCTATCCTACCCCTTCGCCTACTCTGTCGCCTTCGCCCTCACCTACGCCCTCGCCCACGCCATATCCCACGCCCTATCCCACACCCTATCCCACGCCCTACCCCACGCGCTACCCCACGTCCCATCCCACGCCCTATCCGACCTATATGAAGTCATATTGCTTCCACTACTGGAGCTGCCAGGACTGCGGATCTGATGATAGGTGTTATTGGTGCGGTGATAGGTATGGCTCGGGCTCTTGCTACACACTGCCGACTTGGGATATAGCTCGGGCTCGGGGTTACTGCGCGTGGTATTCTCCGACTTGCCAACCTCCCACGCCTACGCCGTATCCCACGCGCTACCCCACGCCCTATCCCACCCATTCGCCTACTCTGTCGCCTTCGCCCTCACCTACGCCCTCGCCCACGCCATATCCCACGCCCTATCCCACACCATATCCCACGCCTTATCCCACGCCTCATCCCACGCCCTACCCCACGCCCCGTCCGACCTATCCGGATTGCGGGTACTACGACTGGAGTTGCCAGGCATGCGGATCGGTGTATGGGTGTGTTTTCTGCGGTGATAGCTCTGGCGGGGGCCATTGCTATGTCGGCTATTTGGTAGCTGGATTCTGCTCGTGGTCTTCTCCGACTTGCCAACCTCCCACGCCATATCCCACGCCCTACCCCACGCCCTATCCCACAGGATATCCCACGCCATCCCCCACGCCCTATCCCACACCATATCCCACGCCTTCGTGTTCGCAAGAATCCCGGTGCGACTACCGCCACAGTGAGCCAGGGTGCTATTGGTGTCAACAGAGGCAAGGCTGGTCGCTGGATGGTGGCCGCGGTGGCGGCCGCTGCTCTTCCGGCTCATCGCTCGCCGAGTTCGACTCCGACTGCTTGTTCCCATGGTGGAAAAGAAGCTGCACCTATCCCACGCCCTACCCCACGCGATATCCCACGCCCGATCCCACGCCCCTTCCCACGCCGTATCCCACGCCCTATCCCACGCCCGCCCCCACGCCCAATCCTACGGCAAAATCGTGTAGCCAATACTCCACTTGCAGACCTTGCGAAAATGCGGCGGGGTGCTATTGGTGCAGGCGGAGTTCGTGGTCGTTCGGGTACACTGGCCAGTGCCTTTCCTCCGGGACGATCGCCAGATGCTTGTGGACGTCTTCGATTTGCCGTTGGAGGATGTGGTATCATTTCACCTGGAGCTACCGCCTCCGGATCAGGAGGGCCTACTCATCGGCATTCATCGGAGACAACTTCGTGCGAGGAGCGTTCGAACGCGCCGGCCAATCCAGGGTGTCTGCCCTCCCGTCAAGCGCTGTGGTGTCCGTCCAGCTCTCCATGTCAAGTCCCCGTAAGGATGCCTCACACACGGACGAGATGGATGAGATTGAGGTGGAGTACTCCGTAGAAGTGCCTGGCGACGACGACTCGGACGGTGTCGATCAGCCGCAGGTCGACTCGCTCTCAGCTGATCTGGCGCAGGTCTCAGCGGAGGAGTACACACAGGACTTCGTATCAGAGATGAGCGCTGTGGCAGGAGGGGCGGCGGCTTTCGGTGTAGAGCCTGTGGCCAATTCTGCTTCAGCCCCTACGGTGACCACGGCAACAGATCCTCCGACGCCGAGTCCGACGCCGAGTCCGACGCCGAGCGCGGCCTCTGCGAAGGGGGATCCCCATCTGGTCAACGTCAATGGCCAGCGGTTCGACCTGATGCAGCCTGGTCTGCACTCACTGGTTCATATTCCGAGGTTTGCTGAGGCGGTTCGCACCCTTCTAGACATTCAAGCAGACGTCCAGAGGCTTGGTGCCACTTGCGCAGACATGTACGTCCAGTCCATCAACGTGACAGGTGCGTGGGCATCTGTGCCCGAGCACCCAGCTGGCATCTTCTTCTCAGTTAAGAAGTTTCCACGATATCCCACGTGGCAGAAGCTGGGCCAGGTTAAATTGAAGGTGATCCAGGGCCATACCGAGAGCGGCATCGAATATCTCAACTTCCTCATCCAGAGCTTGTCGAAGGTGGCGTATTCGATTGGTGGCCTCCTCGGGGACGATGACCACACCGAGGCCTCCAGAGTCGACCCCAACTGCCGCACAAGGATCAGCCTCTGAGGCGGGCCACCGGACGAGAGCTGCAGGCTGGCGTTCCAGCCAGCCTCCGCCCTTTCCTGCGCAGGATCTCCAAGCTGAGTGCCGAAGCGCGTCTTCTCGAGCACCCGGGGTCCAGGGCTGCCCACCGACGCTCGGCAGCGATGGGGGGGAAAGGGCGATGGCTGGGGCAGGAGGAGGAGGAGGAGGAGGAGGAGGAGGAGGAGGAGGAGGAGGAGGAGGAGGAGGAGGAGGAGAGGAGGAGGAGAGGAGCAGGAGGAGGAGGAGGAGGAGGAGAGGAGGAGAAGGAGGATGAGGAGGAGGAGGAGGAGGAGGAGGAGGAGGAGGACTCCGGCTCGACTCGCGGGCAGCGGCGCCCGCTTGCCGGAGAACCGCAGCCCAGGAGGCGGTGCAAGAGACCCGAGCGAAGCGTCTCGGCCTCTTTCCGCACGGGCGCGCCGCGAGGCGCGCCGCGAGGTCAGCGGGCGGCTCCCCGGGTGACCGCCGTGGTTCGGCAGAGAAAAGGAAAGAGGGGGCTCCACGGTAGAAATATCCAAGATCCCCTACGCCATTCTAGTTTTCAGAACGTCGACCCCCAGAGGTCTCGACCCCTTCCCTGGGGCCAGTTTCTCGTCCTGAGTCTTCCTGTTGACGGTCCCGAGGGCCAGCAAGGATCTCCAGAGGCCGGAAATGGAGAAAAGCCTCGGGTCCTGATCTTTTCACAGCGCGAGGGGGTCTGGGCTGAGGAGCTGCCGGGGGACCATCCTCGTGCTGCAGCCCCTGGCCACAGCACCTTGGCCGCGGCGGGGGGCGCACCGGGGGGCGCCCGCCAACGCGCGCCTCCCACCGCGAAGCTCGCGCCCCGCGCGGCCAGAGCGCGAGATGGAGCTGGGGGCGACACCCCCGTGCGGCGAGGCCTCCAGCGGGCGACGACGACGACGACGACGACGACGACGACGACGACGACGACGACGGCGACGACGACGACGACGAGGAGGAGGAGGAGGAGGAGGAGGAGGAGGAGGAGGAGGAGGAGGAGGAGGAGGGGCGGCGTGTCAAGCTCGGGCGGCGAGCCTAGGGGGGAAGTGAAGACCCAGACCCCCTCGCGTTGTGCAATGATCACGACGAGGAGGTGTTTCGCCATGTTCGTCAGGTCGGGCATGTTCCTCTGCAGGAGGACCATGCAAAAGTAGCTTAACATGATATGGGGACGTGTTGTTTTTGTTGATGTTGCTTCTCCAAAAATGTTGATGGTTTGAATGTTTTGTTGATGTTCCGGATGTTTTTTCTCCAAAAATGTTGATGTTGATGTTTGTTTGACGTTTTTGTTTTGTTTTTGTTGATGTTTCTGATGTTTTTTTCTCCAAAAATCCGCCTGCAAGGGGACATGCCCGACCGAGCATGTTCGGCCTCGGGGGGGCCCTCACCGGGCCTCGGGACCGTCAAAGAACGATTGAGGAGGAGGAGGAGGAGGAGGAGGAGGAGGAACGATTTTTGTTTTGAAAGGCACGCCATCGCCAAGAGCTGTGCATGTTGCCTGTGCACATCCTGACGGCGTCTGTCGCCATCGTCGGAGTCAAAGAACGATTCGGGGCGAGAAGCCAGTCTGGGGAAATGGGCCCAGACCTCTGGGGGTCGACGTTGGGACAAGAGTCACGACGTCGGGGGTCCGGGTGCCGAGGTCGGCGGCGAGCCCAGGGTGGACGTGAGCAAGAGAATGCCTTCCCAGAAGGCTCGGGAGTCCCCAGGCCTTCTGGGAAGTTTTCGGAGCCTCCCCCCAAAACGCAGGAAGCAACTTGAAAAGCCCCGCCGCCCTCTGAGAAGGCCTTCTCCTTCTCACTTCCCTCCCTCCCTCGCTCGCCGCTGGCAAGGGGGGTCGCTACCTTTGGGGGGTTGGGGGGCTCGCCATGGGGGAAGCGGGTTCTGAGGTTCTGAGGTTTGTCGCCGTCTTTGGTTTTCTGGGGCCCTCCACGGGCCCTGGGATCTTCAGAGAAGAAGTCAGGCTGAAGATTTCGGCCCGGTGAAGGCTCCGGGGTCCAGGACCCGTTTCCCCCAGGGGACGGGAACGATGGGTGCAAAGTCCAAGAGAATCTGTTCATTCTGATCGGGGCTTGTTTTCCGAGTCTCCGCGGTCGTTGTCCATCTGAGTCAGAAGTTCGCCTGCCCAACAGCGGCCGCTGTCGGTTTTGGGCATCATTACTCTTGGCATCGTATTGTTCGCTTGAAGTTAACAAGTGAGCCCCCCCCTCAGGGCTGATGAATAGACCCCGCGGGGCGCGAAACAGATTTTTAGATCGCGCGCGCCAGGGGGTGGTCGCGGGCTCCGTCGAGGGGATCGTGAAGCCCTCCCTCTGCACGGCAGCCTCAAAACGATTGCCCTTCGTATAGAAGTTGTTGTAGGGATTGTTTCAATATGAGGCAAAATTGCTGCCCTTCTCTGGTTGATGACTGACATGCCACAGTCGTCGTCGTCGTCGTCGTCGTTGCCGTCGTCGTCGTCGTCTACAGTTGGCAAGGCCTACGCAATACTCCCCCCTTTCCCCATGGGGCATCCGCAGCGCGTCGTCGTCGCCGCCGTCGACGTCGCGTTGTTGACGTCGCCATGTTCGCCGTCGCCGTCGCCGTCGTCGTCGTACAGTTCGTCGTCGTCGTCGTCGTCGTCGTCGTCGTCGTCGTCGTAGGACGTTGTAGTGGAGGGGGGCGGACGGAGAAGCAGAAGGAGGAGTCTTTTCCGCCGGCCTCTTCCGCTCTTTCCCCCCTCTTCCTTTTCCTGCTTGTACCCATGCTGGCACCGCCCGCCAGCCGAGGCGCCTCTTTCCCCCGCCTCCTCTTTCTTTCGTGTCTGTAGCCATTTCGGCCCAACCGCCCCGCTTTATCGTAGGCGCTGTTGTCCCTCTATGCTGAAGCGGCGCCGCTTGCGTCGAGCCTGTCGCCCTCCTACAGTCGGCCAAGCGTCGGCGCTAAGCACTGGCGCCGCCGCCGTATGTTTCAATTTGGCGGGCGCCCCCCCCCCCGCGATTCACCCGAGCAGAGGAACAATTTGTTTTTATTCGCGCGCCCCCCATGCTTTTGCTTATCGCAACCTGACATTACCCACGTTTTCCGTACCCATCCCGGGCGTCCAAAACATGGGGGGAAGGGAGGCGCCACCTTTTTTTTGAAGGGGATATGGAGGGTCGGGGGCCGGGGAACATATAATGGCATGAACAGAGGCTTGCAGAAGTCCGCACGGAGGTCTCTGATCGGCAAGGCGCTTCGTTTTTTGGGGTAGCGCGTCGCTCCGTTGGTTCTTGCCCACCACGCTTCGGCGCAACACGGCGTCCACGTTTCATTATCCCGCGTCACCGCCCACAGCCTATCCGAGCTCCCCGCCCTGCGAACAAGGGCCGTTATTTCAGGAAACAGGCCGACGACCCCAAGGACCCGTTTCCTTCAGCAGCCTTTTTGTTTCTTAGCGGCGACGTTTGAAATTTTGTTTGTTGGACCCCTTGGGAGAGGGGGCATTCTGCTCAAGGTCTCGTGGAGAAGTCAGCCGTGGCGAGAAGACGCTTCACAGATGCCCCCAAAGGGCCGAGAACGTCCAGACGCCCTCCAGCCTACTGTCGGGAACTTTTGTTTCGCGTGTCGTCGCGGCGGCCTTGGCGACACGCTTTGCCCTGCAAGCGGATAGCGTGTTGCGGGTCCTGCGGGGACCCCCAGGACACAGGGCTCCGGGAGGACGCGAGGAGGGGGACGCATGCTTCTGTCGAGTGTTCCAATCGGGGTGTTTTCCCCGATTCTGGTTTCGTTCGGAGGGACGAGAAGCGATAACAGCACCACCAGGGGGCCCACCTCCAGCGAGTAGGTCCACGATGCCTCCCCGAGCTGTAGGTTGGGGATGTTTCGAGCGAGAGGGGGGGTCCACACCACAAGGGAGACCCCCTTTGCTTCCTCGCATCTTCTCGCCCTGGTGGTGCTGGTGTTTGCCTTTCCTTGTTCCTCTCTGGAGGCTCATGGCGGGGGCCCGGGGTTGTTAAGATCCAAACGGGGAAGACAAAATATCTCTGGGGAAGGGGTCGCTGATGCCCAGGACAGGGCCGAGACTCCTGGGGCTCGTGGGTTCCGAGCGCCACGTCGTCGGATGTTTGGGCGGTGGAGGGTCACCACCCGTCGTTGGAGATTCGAGACGCCTCGGGCGGGGTGCCGCACGCAGAAGGACCACACCACTGGGAGGGCCCCTGCCTGGCATTGGATCGGAGGGGGGGGAAGTGAGAAGGAGACGGCCCGTTCAAAAGGCGGCAGGGCTTCTCCGAAGCCGTCGCGCCTTCTGGCAAGTTTTTCTTTGTGTGTCTTCTGGGCAGGCTTAGGACAACTTCTCAGAAGGCCAGGGACCAGGGTCATGGCGCCAACATCGCAGAGCGGATTTCGTTCGGATAACGATAGGATGGATCCGGAGTGCTCTGGAGAATGTCATTCGGATTTCGAGGTGATTTTCGTGCGGACTTGTTTTGGTTAGGAACGAACGCTAAAACAAATCCACGCGACATTCACTTCGTTCTTCATTTGGCATTGACAGATATCCACGCAGAAAAAACCGCTGCAGCACGTCTGCAAGGTCGGTGCAGTGACCACGGGACTTCAGAGCCTTCTGAGAAGGCGGCTCGCCCCTTCTCACTGCCCTCCTGGCGGTCGCCCCTAGTGGTGGTGGTGTCGCCCATTCCGTGTCCTGGTGACTAGGAGGATCAGGGATCTGCTTCCCAGACCAGCGTCTCAAGGATCAGCCTCGACGGAGCCTTTCCGCTGCCGGCCTCCACAGGTGTTCGCGTGGTGCGGGGCATCGCATGTCTAGGATTAGCCAGGCGCCTCTTCTTGTGCGTGACTCGCACCTGCGCGGCCCAGCTGCCGCTTCGATCGCTCCGCCCGTCGCCGGCGCCACAGCTGGCCGGACTCGCCTCGAAATTCTGGCCATGGGCGCAGGAGAGGTGCGGGGTCGGCCTTGGATTAAGTCGGGCCTGTCCCTCTTCAAGAGGAATCTCCAGAAATAGTACAAATCAGGCCGGGGAATATGTTCCGAATTCTACATCATACCTCTATATACACATATCGGAGGTTGGGGGGTGAGTCCGACGTGAAATAGAGACCCCTCCTACCGGGAAATCGATTTCGGTTTCGGGTTCGTGCCGTGCGTCCCATGCGTGCGCGCGTGCGGGCGAGGCGAAGCTGCGTGGGCGGGCGAGAGGAAAGTCTCCTGTGGCTGGGCCGCGGCTGGACCAAATGATTCCCCCCGGGAACCGGTGGCCCGCGGTGTCCCGCTGGTGTCCCGCTGGTGTCCCGAAATCCTCCTGTGGCTGGGCCGCGGCCGGACCAAATGTTTCTCCTCCGGCGGCCGGTGGCCCGCGGTGTCCCGCCTGTGTCCCGTGGTGTCCTGTGGTGTCCCGTTGAGTGAGATCGATCGTGAGATCGATACTGAGATCGATACTGAGATCGATGTGGTGCCCCGAAGTGTCCCGTGGTGTCCCGTGGTGTCCCGTTGAGTGAGATCGATAGTCAGATCGATCGTGGGATCGGAAAGAGCGTGTTCTACCGCTGTTTGCGGAAAACCGGGGGGTTCTTACCGGTTCGAACCCCTCCCCCCCCCCCTCTGGAAAACCGGGGGGGGTCACTACC